GACCATGGGAGTCTGGTGGGAAAAATTCCATAGGAAATATGTGGGCTTAGCAACTGAGGAAGAGACAGAGCCGTGAAACCTGGGAAGAGCCAGGGGCAGCTGACCCAGGGGCAGAATCCCAGGCAAGCTTGGCCTGCCTACGTGCTGACCAACTAGCTGTGGGGCCCAAAATAGCCTCCCCGCAAGGCCTGCATTTCTTTCACTGTCAGTACTCTGTTGTGCTGCTGAAATTCCACCATTTAGAGCAGGATCCTGGCAGATGTCATGACGGAAGAAGGGAGTTCACTGGGTGCCCAGGGAGGGGCCATTGGAAGTAGGAGGGTGGCAAATAACAATGGCATCCCTATTTATGGAGCACAGGCCTACCCATCAGTATCTCATTTAATCCTTCCATCAACCCCATGAGGCAGGTGTACTATTATCCCAACTTTACAGATGACGGAACGGAGGCTTAAGAGATGTAACAGTAGTCAAATCAAGTATACATGTTGAAACTGTGTTACTAATAAACTCACCATCTATATTTTTTGCTATCTATCTATCTATCTATCTATCTATCTATCTATCTATCTATCTATACGAGTGATGTTAAGGAGCAGCCTTTTGGCTTAACATTTTGGTTAAGTGGCAAGATCCAAACCCTTGTCTCATCTGAATGCATTACCTTGCACTCTGACTTGTCCCACCTCCCTGTTTTCTTGTTCTGTGACTTCATTCTGCAGATTATGGGACATGGCACTCAGGGCAGAGACCCTCGCCTGGTACTATTCTGAATTATGGTTCAGTGGTTTGATGGTTTACATAGATTTTTGTGGACTAGCCTGAGAATTGAATAGCTTGACTTAAAAGATTATTTCTTTAGGAAATATCTGTGACCTGCTGCCAAACTGGTAGAATATTATCTCATCATATTATAAGTTGGGAATTACCTGTAATTACAACTTAACAGTGCTCAATGTCCCTTCCAGTCACACACAAAATTAAGCCAAATTTACCAACCCAGGGTCCCTTCATGTTCAGTTTTCATGTGTACTGCATGTGTACGTTTAGTAGAAAGCATGTTCCATGAGGGTAGGGACTTTTGTCTATTGGGGGTATCAAGGTTTCCCTAGCATGTCAGTGCCTGGCATACACAGGCATATAAATTTAACTATTTGTTGAATGAATATGTGCATTTGGATTGCAAGACTTCAAAACCCCATGCACTCTATGCTTTCACTTGTGAACTATATTTCAAGTTGAGATGGGGACTAGGACTACTATGAACTAACCCTCAATTCAGACCACCTTGTGCAACACTAAGTCATTAGTTGAAGACCTCCCCCTGCATATAAAGTGTCTTCCTCTTCCCATGTAAAGTGAATGTCAGTAGTTTGGAGGAAGCTCTGATTCTGGCTTCAGCAGACCCACCTCCTGCCATCATGGAACTCCGGCAATATGGACAAGTTGCTTTACCTCTTTTGGTCTCTAGACCAGAAGAGGTTTCCTTTCAGCTCTAAAATACAATGACATCTGCAAGCTTTATCTCGTAGAGTTTCCATACCTGTTCTAATCTCTGTTTGGAGAAGATACTGGCAAAAAGAGAAATAAACCAAAAAAATGACTAAAGATAAATGTCTTGGGTGTCCCAAAAGGAACATCACAAGTCCTTGATTTAGACAAGTTAGAAGTTGCTACATGGCCAGTTACTTTATAGCCAACCTCTAGGCAAGCACATTAGAAAATTATGAATTATATTTGGCTAGCTCCTACTGAGATAATACTAGAAATAGAATTCTGGATGTTTCTTTTATGTGGGAACCAGCAGAACACATGCAATCTCAAAGGTGAGTGTGCAAACCAGGTATAGTCCAGTCCCCCTCTGAAAACAGAATTACTATTACTGTGGCACAAAAGATCTTTTGCTCAATCAGTAAGTTACAAGCATTTGGAGGGAACCAGAGGAACCAGAGTTTATGGTACTTTCTATTTTTAAATGAAACACAGTGACTTAATGTTTTTCTACATAAGTCTTAACCAGTTGCACCATGTACAGTGCAGGATATAAATGTCAGCACTGTGACAGGGGCGTGTTGACACTGGTTGACTGTTCAAAGTCTGCAGACTGTCATTATTTTGCCTTCCCTGCACTGACAGCTTGCTACTGACTTGAACATACCTGGAAAGAAGTCAATTTGGCTTAGAATGCAGCTCAGTTTCTCTCTGGGAACATTTCTCTTTCAGGTTTCCTCTGGGAGCTATTGGGTCTTCCCATAGATAAAACAGAATGGGGTGTGTTCTGCTGGTTCAAATGTAAATAGAGTAGTCAGAATCCTGTCCATTGATGACTTAGTTTTGGAAAAGGGAAGTATTCCCTCCCCCCACGACATTACCCCCCCCCCAATCAGTGTTAACCTGCTTGTTTTGTGACTGGCTGTACCTTATATGAGCTACAGATTTTCTTAGGGTATTATCAAAGTCATAGTGATTTAACCCTGGCTGCACAGTAGACTATTCTGGGGAACACCTAAAAACTCAGATGCCTAGGCCAAACCCCAAACCAAGTAAATCAGAATCTGGGGTGAGGTCCAGCATCATTAATTTTTAAAGTTTCTCAGGTGATTCCAGTCTCTTTTTATGCATCTCTTCCCATAAGAAGATTAGGACAGAAGCGTAAAGGCCAAGGGGCAAATCTCATAGCCACTGGTGTTGTGGAGAAGGACAGCCTCCCTTTTTTGGACAGTTACAGATTATTCATTGAGTTCTAAAGTAAGTAAGTAACTTGCTCAAAGTCACAGTTAGTTGAAAGCAGAGCCAGAATCAGGAGTTTAATATTAAATAAGCCTATGTAGACAGAACACTAATATGGCAATTCAACCTCCATGAATTAATCGGCTTCATAATCAGGCACAGTTATCTTTTTCTCCCGGCAATGTCTGAGCTAGACAACTATTATCTGGCACCCTGTTCCTGTCCCTCTCACCTCGGCTGTTCAAATGAATGAACAGACAGTTATTCAGCTGTCATGGGGGCTGCTCAGAAGACAATGACACTAGTAGCATTTTAAGTTTAAATTTCCATTGAAGAAACATTTATGTACACTAAATTTGTGATGGAAAAGAAAGACTTTAAGGATAGGTGGCGGTGGGGAGGACATATAGTTATTGACAAATGCTTGGAACAGGTACTTTAATTTCAAGGGATCGAACATGTTCTATTTCTAACCCTAAATCACTTTTTTTTTTTTTTGAGTTGGAGTCTCACGCTATCGCCCAGGCTAGAGTGCAGTGGCAGCTCATGGCCACTGCAGCCTTCCCTGCTGGGCTCAGGCGATCCTTCCTCCTCAGCCTTCCAAGTAGCTGGAACTACAGGCGCGTGCCATCACGCCCAGCTAATTTTTTGATTCATTGTAGAGACGAGGTCTCACCAAGTTGCCCAGGCTGGTCTCCAACCCCTGGGCTCAGACAATCCTCCCACCTTGGCCTCCAAAAGTACTGGGATTACAGGCATGAGCCACTGCGCACAGCCTAAATCACTTTTGGAGTCTTAACTTGCCTTCAGAGAATTGCACTCTTTCCCCTTTCTTGGGACTTACGGAGAAGATTCTTTCATTGCTGTAATTAAGAATAAAACAAGCACATCACATTCAATGGTTTCCTGTTTGGGTTTTGGGGACTCCTAGCACACTGCTGACTTGTGCAGGACAACTACTATGGCCATGACCACAATACATCTCAAGTGCAAAACAGCTAGAGAAATAATGGGGGTGAAGGTGGGGTGACTGGGGGCGGGGAGTGGTTGTGAGAGGAATGGTCAGGGTGGTGTTTGGGCTACATTACAGCTCACTGCTGCTTTATTTTGGGGTTGTGTCACATTTTCTATTGCTGCCGTTGTTACACTCATACTTCTGCAACAACCTCTATATAATTTGTAATATGCCATCCCTCACTTTATGCCACAAACTTCTGAAGAGCAGAGGGTCAATGATATCAAATAACAATCAAATATACCCTAATTGACTTGCTCCTAAAACAAGTTCATTTTTGAGAGGTAAATCACATACTTATTTTCTAATAAGAATAACCTGGTCTTTTATTTATTTATTTTTTTGAGTTGGAGTCTCACTCTGTCACCCAGGCTGGAGTGCAGTGGCACACTCACAGTCACCCCTGCGTCGACCTGCTGGTAGCCTTTCAAGTAGCCAGCACTACAGGCAAGCGCTATCATGTCCGGCTAATCTTTTGATTTATTGTAGAGACGAGGTCTCACCATCTTGCCCTGGCAGGTCTGGAACCGGCGGGCTCAGGCAATCCTCTCGCCTCGGCCTCCCAAAGTGCCGGGATTATAGGCTTGAGCCACCGCGCCTGACAGAATAACCTGGTCTTTTTTTTCAAGAGTGAGCATTGTCATATGTGGCATGAGTTACAGCTTTCCCCGCCCCCCAGTCCCAGCCAGCACTATTTACGGTTAAGTCTTTCTAGAACCGGAACTTTTCTGAACAGATTTGACACTACACAGATGCTTGTTCTGGAAATTGAGGCCCTTCTGTGTTTTCTCTGTCTCTGGCTTGGTTTTGTGAAAAGCCAGACTCTCTCTTTGCAGGCACGGTTTAAGATGAAAGTGCAAGTTTTCAAAATTAAGCACAACCAGGTAGAGCAAAACAGATCAAAGGTTTTGGAAGAAAGAAAAACCGGAGTGTGTATATAAAATGGGGAAGCGGAGAAAAAGGGACAACTGTGTGTTCCTGTGGTGGTGGCGGTGGGGAGGACATTTGCTCATCGGAACGCTAAGGGGACGGCATAAACATTCTATACCCTCTGTGCTGGGCAAGCCAGCACGTGTCGTGTTCAGGCCAGGCGTGCGCAAGGGGGCCTTGGGGCAGCAGGGAGCAGGCACACACTCCTGGGGGCTTCAACGCCCGCACTGCCTTGGCCGTCGGGCCGGCTCGGGTGCGTGCGGGGGGCAGAGGGGTTCCAGGGGGTCCGCCGGCGGCCCCCCCGCGGGGAGGGAACGGTTCTTACAGTCACTGCTCAGGGCGAAGGGCGCACGGCGGCGGCCGAGGGAGCGGTCTTCGGCGGGCGCCTCGGGAGGCCTCTTACCGGCGGGCAGCGGGAAGGAGGACGCGGTGTGGAGCAGCACCAGGCAGACAGCCACGACATCCCATAACTTCATCTTAGAGTCCCGTGCGGCTGCACCTGCGCGGGCGGGCGGGCAGGCGGTGGGGAAGAGAAGCGCAGAGTGCACGTTAGGC